ATTAGTTATGATTTTAAACATATTCATTTCATTTGTTTTAATAGTTGTGAAATGATTTGAGTAATGAAAATAAAAGAATAATGAATAATGAAAATACATTCAATGATAAACAAAGAATATCATCATTGAATAAAATGAAAATCAATATTATTCAATATCAAATCATCATTTCATCAATAAACACATCAAATAACAATAAGATAATAATGAAAAAGATTAAATAAAATAAACATAATAAGTGACAATAATTACAAATGAATGATAATGAAAATATAATCAATTGATACATATAATTAAATTTTATCAATATCTTGTCTTTTAGCTATGGTATGATTTCATAACATAATATACTAATATATTATTATTCATTATTCTTAAAATAATGAAATGAAATAATATGATGATTCTAATTAATTAATTGTTTTATTGTTCAATTTGTTTATTTTCATTCAATATTCGATACTTATGACTCAATGTTATTCATAATTAAATTAATTGAAATAAATACAAAAATGAGAATAAAATAAACATATTTATTTGTAATAATGTTATTTTCATTTCAATTCACTCTTTATCTTTATTTTATTGTTAAATTATATTGAATTGATTTAATGAAATAATTAATATTGAAACATGAATAAGAATATATGTTATTTAATCATGATATATCAAATTTAATAATTTCATCATTAAATGATTAATGTTTAATAACATGATGAAGTATTTTCATGAAATAGATAATTTCTATTCATTATGAATGTATTATTGATATTCATGACACTATTATTTATTTTCATTCAATATAAAATGAAATGAATGATAAATAATGAATAAAAAAGAATGAAAAGAAATGAATAATGATGAAATGAAAGAATATAACTTCAATGAAACATGATGAAGAAAAAGAATAAAAAACAATACAAAACATAAAATAATAAAACATAAAAGAAAGAAGAATAGAATAAGTCATGAATGAAACAAATAAGAAATTGAAAATAAGAATAAAAGTAATGAAATAGAAGTGATTAAAGAATAATACAATAAAACAATAAAGAAAATAGAATAATAAATAAAAATGAATTTGTTTTTAATACAAATACAATATGAAATAAAAACAAATATGAATAATAACATTAATATGAAATGTTGAAATGTTAAATAAAATAATTAAGAAATAACAATATTTATAAAGAATGAGAAGAATATAAATAAATAAAAATATAGAAATACAGAAAGAGAAATGAAAATGAAGAATATCCAATAACTAAATACACATATATTAAGAATAATTATTATTTAACTTCAATTATTTATTGATTATTGGGGTACGAAAATTAGCAAAGAAAAAATGCATCTAAATAATTTACAAAAATGAAAAAAAGATGCAAAATATTTTGTATCAATAGAATTTTCCATTTTTTATATTTTGCTCCTAAAATAAAAAATAAAAATAAAAAGTATGATAAATACAGAATATATAAATATTTATGTTTATATTTTATTATCAATTGTATTCATTTTGTATGAAATATTAATGAAATAGATGATTTGATGAATCATATTTATTTTTATTATTCATATTCTTTTATTTATATGTTATTTATCTATCGTATTTTTATATATTTATTTCTCTGTTTATATTATTTATATCATTGTATTCTTCTTATTATCTATATATTATTATATTATTCTTATTTTATGTTTTTTATGTTTATATTATTTAGATTTTCTTATTGTTATTCTTTTCTATTTAGATGTATTTGTTTATTCATC